CTGGGGAATTCTGGGAGTTGAAGTCCACACATCTTAAAGTTCACAAGGTTGAGAAACACTGATCTAGGCTGAATTCCAAATCTTCTAAAAACTTCTGCTTTATGCTGTCTACAGTGCCAGCGCCTCCTGGCAAAAGATTTCCTTCACCATCTCATTGTCATCTTGTTCTGGCCACTCAAGACCCTTCATTGCTTAACCTCTCCAGTGAAGCCCACCAGGAAAACAGCTGTCCCCTTGTTATGAAGCCACTGGCATTTTGATGCAGCTTATTTGATGGGAGTCCAGAAGAATTTTGTGTCCTCTTATATGATTGGACTCCACCAACACTTGAGAATTCTCCAGGGAATTGTGCCAGTGTCTCAGCGAGTTACAGGACTTGGCCAACTGTAGCTAGATTTAGGAGCTAAACAGATTGGAATGGGAGACCCCAAGGGAATTTCAGGGCAATAAACGAAACAAAAATCAAAAAAATATTCCAGGAGAAGGTCAGCAAATCCCTTCCATCCTATTGCCAAGAACCTGCACAGTTGTGTCCATTACGTCCACTTGTCATTTGTACCTTTACCAATCACTGAATTTCCTAATGATCAGGCATCTCTTCCTCCATTTACCATTTCATATACTGCAGCAGGGGCTTGTCTCAATCCAAAACTGCTTTAGGATTTGACATCTGAGATCTTCTCCATTCTCAGCCATAGCCTGACAACTCAACTGGACCTCTTGCCTTCCTGTTGTGGAGTATGGATGATTCCTGGCAGTTCTATGGTCCTCCTTTTTGTGACTCCAGGCCGTCACCCCCACCCCACTTACCTAAGACAAATTCCCCTGATGTGAAATCCAAAGAATTGTAAGTAATACTTGGAAGACCATACCAGTAAAGCAGTTTTAATAAATGAACTGTTTGCTATGTAATCACCATAATCTGCTTTTTGGAAGCAGGACAATCCTAAACTTAACCTGATGCCCTCCAGATGTTTTAGGACTGTGATGCCCATATTCCTAGCCAGCATATCCTTTGGCAAGCTAGTTGAGAAAAGTTGACCTAGAGCAAGAGTTGGAGCCCCTATAAACTAGGTTTCAAAAGTAAGGAGAGTCTTGCTAGAGCAAACTGGTCCAGTCTCCTGTTTCCTACAAGATCAAACCAGTCCCTTTGGGAAGTCCACAAGAAGACATAAAGACATACTCATGTTGCCTCTCTGACCATGGAGGTAATAATATAGATTTGGTGAATTTGTTTTTATGATGTGCCATCAAGTCAGTGTTGAGTTTAGACCACATAGATAGACCTCTCCCCAACATTCAGCTCTTCTAATAGTGAACCCATCACTGCTATAATTGAATCCATCCAACTTACTGCTGGTTATCTTCTTCTCATTCCTTCTAACTTTCCTTTATGGATTTTTCATGGGAATTGGATCTTCACTTAATGTATCTAAAGCAGTGATTCTCAACCTTTTTGAAGCTGCTGCCCCCCTAAGGAGCGGAAAATTTTTCAACGCCACCCTTTGGGGGGGGTG